TCTCCCCCCCCCCCCCCCCCCCACCTCCGCTTATATTCTTTCTTATACCCATGTCCTGTGTTCTCTCCTACACACCCAGTCACACGTGTCCCGAGATCCCTCTTGCACACGTCCCAAAATCCCTCTCACGCGCACACACACATGCCCTGAGCTCCCTCTTACACACCCCCACACACCCCTTGTATTCCCTCTTACACCCATGTCCTATGTTCCCTCTTACACACCCAGTCACACACACCCCGCCTGAGTCCCCTCTTACACACCCATATGACTCTCCTCTGCCCCACCAGTGGGGGCAAAAGAAAACCTCAGTCATTCCTCTACAGCTGGGGGCTATAGCATCTGCCCCATACCCCAAATCCTCCAGGGTGGGGGGAGGGCACCATCCCTAATCCAGCCCCAGTCCTTCAGGGCTGCCAGTTCTAATCCTACCCTGGATGTAGTGCCTGAGAGTTCAGTGTCTCTCCTGCAGGCCCTGTAGGTTCCCCGGGGGCTATAATTCCTCCCCACCAGCCGCCGCCTCCAGAGCTCTATTAGCGCTAAGATTACTCAGTGCTACAGGAAAGAAATTGGAAAATCCTCCCTGCTGACATGGATTATCAGGAGGGGGAAGGTCCCAGCTGCTACTCAGGCCCCGGAGAAACTCAGCCCCAGAAACAGCAAAGTTCCCAGCTTAGGGCCCAGGTCCCATCCTTGCCCTGGAGCCGGGTCACCTGGGTTTTTCCCTACTCTGGGACGCAGTGAGGTCTGGAGGCTTAGAGCAGGGGGAGCTGGGAGTCAGGACTCCTGGGTTCTCTCCCTGGTTTGGGGAGGCAAGTGGGGTTAGCGCAGGGGTGGGCAATTATTTCGGGCAGAGGGCCGCTCACAGAGTTTTGGTAAGCCATTGAGGGCCGCATGACAGGCAGCAAGGGGCAGATCAATATTAATTTTCTAAGTTTTTTAGGGGCCCTGCAGGCCAGATAGAATGGCCTGGTGGGCTGCATCCAGCCTGCGGGCCACGTTTGCCCACCCCTGGGTTAGACAGTATCAGTGCAAAGGGCCTGGGAGCCCTATCAGGGCAAGGCCCCCACCCCATGCCCACAACCCTGGAAAGGGGCCAGCACCCCCTGGAGGGGAAAGGCCTCTGCCCCTCACCACCCAAGGCAGCAGCAGGGATTGGACCCCTAGAAGTGGCAGGGGGATCCCGGGCTGGCTGCACATAAGGTCCCCACCAGGTAGCCCTTCCTCCACCCCTGAGCCATTCCCCTCGTGGGTGGCTGGAGGGGAAGGAGATCCCACAACGGGCCCCCCAGGGGTGCCTGTCCAGGGAGCAGGAGACAATATTCCTTCCTCCCTGGAGCCCTTGGATGGTGAACCTAGGTGTCCTGGTCACATACCAGGTGAAGAAACAGCCTTTGCCATCACTTCCTGTCCCAAACTCTTCCATAACTGCAGAACAGCCTCCCTGGAGCCAGCTGGGAAGGGGGTTAGAAGGGTCAGTGTGGGGCAGGATGCCTCCCAGTTCTGGGACAGGAGTAGGGGCCAGTGACTTAGAGCAGGAGGACTGGGAGCCAGGACACCTGGGTTCTGTCCCAAGGCTGGGAGGGGAGGGGTGTGTGTCGGGTTACAGCTGGGATGGGGGGGAGCCTGGATTCTCTCCCAGCTCAAAGTGGACAGTGCCATATCAGTGTTAGAGCAAAGCGGATGCAGGAAGCCCAGATGTCTGGGTTCTCTCCCTCCTCAGGGGTCTCTCCACCTGCCTGCAACCCAGGCCTGGGGTTCCCAGTCTCCTTCTCCCACCCACCCCCAACATTGTGCCAGGTGATCCCACTCCCCCACCACGATGACGAACCATGTGGAGGTGCCCCTGGGGGACAGGCCCCATCTCAGCCTGGAGCCGCTCCCCAAGCCCTGCCTGGACAAGCACTGCAGCTGGCTGACCCGCAACCTCCTGCTCTCCCTCACCGTCCTGGGTCAGTGTCAGCGCGGGGCAGGGGTGGTCTGGGCAAGGAGGCTCTGTGCCATGGGGTGGGGCAGGGGGCGCTGAGCTTGGGGCAGGGACAGGGGCTGGGGGAAGGGGACTGTTCTGAGGGTGGCTGGGAAAGGAGGGTGGGAGCAGGGGGGGCCAGATGGGGGGAGAGGGAGCTGGGGGTGCCAGACTGAGGGGTGGGAGCCTGGGGGGTGCTGTGCTGTGGGGAGGGCTGGGCTGGGCCCTCCATGTTTGAGGGGGCAGCTGGGCAGGGAGCTTCCCTCCAAAGCTCCCCAGCTCCCTTGGACTCCACCTGGCCTCCTCTCACCTCAGGCACAGGGCTTTGCCCCAGGTCAGGGGGGCTGGGCATTGTCCCCTACCCAACCCCCACTCCTCCATCCATCCCCCACGTGTCCCCACCCCTCCGTCTCCCCACCCTCTCCATATCCATCCATCCATCCCTCTCTCCCTCTCTCTCAGACAGTAGCTGAGGGAGGGAACGAACAGCTATGCCAGATGTGCCCCCTCACCAAGGTGGCCGGGCGGAATTTGATTAAAGTCTCATGGTTTCTTTTACGTCATTCCCAGGGTAGAAGAAAATTAAACACGGCCTAATCCCCCTACTCCGGCTGCTGTTGGCTGCAATCCCCCCCCGCCCCCATAGGCCGGGGGGCACAGGGGAAGGGTGTGCTGTGCTAGGGCTGGTGGGGGAACTTGGAGGGGTCTCTGGTTGTGGGGGAGGGGTTGGGAGTCCTGGGTGGGGGGGTCACTGCTAGGGGCTGAGGGGTTAATGGGGAGTTCCTCTCCCCCAGTCACTGCCAGCTGTTGCCATCATAGGTGGGATGATATGAAGCTCCCTGTTACTCTGGTCTCAGGCCCCCTCTTCCTCCTGCCCCGGCCCTGTTTCCTCAGGGCAGAGGCATGAACCCTGGTGTCTGGGTCAAGATCCAAGTAGGACAAGCACCATTGTGCATGTGTGCGTGTGTGCATGCATGCGCACACACGCTGCCCTGTCCTGACATGGCTCCACCCCAGATCTGGCTGCATCTCAGTGCTGGGCAAGGGGTCTCTGTGTAAGTGGGTCCCTGTATCACCAGCTCCCTGATGTCCTCCCAGACCCAGAGATAGCTGCATCTGAGAGCTAGGTGAGGGGTGTCTATAATCAGCTCCTCTGACATGTCTTACCCCAGAAGCAGCTGCATCTGAGCCAGGCTCCCAACATCCCCCTCCAACCCAGAAGTGCTTACAAGTAAGGAGATCCCTGTATTACCAGCTCCCTGACACACCCCACCCCAGAGCTGGATGCATCTCAGTGCTGGGTGAGGGGTTCCTGTATAAGCAGGCCCTACCTTGCCCCCCAGGAGGTGGCCATGTCTAGGTGCCAAGTGAGAGACCTCTGTACTACCAGCTCCCTGAGATGTCCTGTCTCCACCTCCCCCCACCAGAAGCAGCTGCATCCTTACTACCTAGTGCTGAAGGGTGGGGGGTGCTGAGCCCCCCAACCCCCTGCCCCCCTCCTCCCAGGTGTTATTCTAGGCTCTGTGTTTGGGAGTCTCCTGCGACTGCTCCCACCCCTGGACAGTGACCTCATCATGCTGATTTCTTTCCCTGGAGATATTCTCATGCGCATGCTCAAGATGCTCATCTTACCTCTGGTCATCTCCAGCCTCATTTCAGGTGAGGATGGGACAGTTTGGAGGGGGGCAAGAGGGAGAGATTGAGGGATGGTGGGGGCAGTTTCCCCAATGCCCCAAGCTCCTGGTGGAGTAGGAGGGGCTGGGATTTGAACATACTACCCTGGGAACAGCTTGGGCCAATAGGGTGCCGGGCATGTACTACTTATCATTGCCACTAGAAGGCAGCAGGACACCAAAGGCTGCCTGCACCATGAACAGCCTGGCAGTGGGCTTGTTGGGATGGGGGAAGGGGGTGTAGCTGCATCGCAGTGCCTGGAGAGGGGCCCTGTATTAGCAACCGTGACACACTCCACGCTAGAGGCAGTTGCATTTCAGCAGTAGGTGAGGGGTATAACCAGCTTGTGATGTGCCCATCCCAAAGGTGGCATCCCAGCACCGGGTGAGGGGGGCCCCCACTACGCCCAGCCCGCAGCTAGGCTTGTGGCATGTGTGACGGGTGCGTGTGGCACAGGGCTGGCAGGGCTAGATGCCAGGTCGAGTGGGCGCATGGGCACACGAGCCATGGTGTATTACGTGTGCACCACGGTGCTGGCGGCTGTGCTGGGCGTCATCCTGGTCCTCACCATCCACCCGGGCAACCCTGAGTTGAAGCGGGCACCGGGCATGGGTGAACGCAGTGAGGAGGTCTCCAGCCTGGACGCCTTCCTGGACCTCATCCGCAACCTGTTCCCCGAGAACCTGGTGCAGGCCTGCTTCCAGCAGGTAGGGGAGTCACTGGGGTCGCGGTGTGGAGGCACTGGGGTCACTGCTGTGGGGGGTGAAGACCCTGGGGGTGCCATACTATGAGATGGGAGCACTAGGGGCAGCGCAGGGGCTAGTTGGGGGGCACTCCCACCCTGAGTCCATACTGATCCCATTCCCGCCCTGCCCCAGATCCAGACAGTGACCCAGAAGGTCGCGGTGGCACCTGAGGTGGTGAGGCAAGAGAACGTGAGCCAGGGCCTCCATGCCAACCTGACCCTGGTCAATGCCACCATCACTGAGATCAACCTGGGGCCCACCACCATCACCCAGAAGCGGCTGGAATTCAAGCCAGGGATGAACGTGCTGGGTAAACCCCTGGCCAGGGCACTGCTGGGGGGCAGTTTGCATCACTGGGGGTATCCGTGGCTGGTGGCACTGCTGGGATGGGACAGGTTGCAGCCCCAAACACTGACCCACCACCTTCCCCCCAGGGCTGATCGGGTTCTTCATCGCCTTCGGCATGGCCATGGGGAAGCTGGGCGAGGCGGCCCGGCCCATGGCCGATTTCTTCAACATCCTCAATGAGATCATCATGCAGCTTGTCTCCATGATCATGTGGTACTGGGGGCCTGGCCTGGTCCCTGAGACCCCACCGGGGAAGGGCCTCTGGGGGCCTCTGGGAGCTGTCTGCCCACTGCTGCTCCCAACACCCGTCCAGTGGCTCCCATGGCCCCTTCTTCCTCCTACCCCCCTCCCCCCAACACACATGCTTATGCCCCCCTTGTGCTCCTTCTTAACCCAGGCTGCCCTCACAGTCCCTTCCAGCTTCCTCTCCACCACCCTCACTCCCCCTGTCCCCCGTGT